ATGGTGGAGGGTCATCACTTCAATGCTGGTGGTCTTTGCTTCTTTGGACAACGTGGCCTTCAGTCCAGTGGAATTGATGATGGAGGACCATCACAGGTTGTGGGGCCAGGAAAAATGGAGAGAACTACGATTTCCGATCACACTGTGGTTTGTGGGATATGGGAGAGGAGTTTCCAAAGGTCATGGAAGGAGGACATCATGTATCAAAACAGGAGTGGTCTCTGTTATCTCTCCTCTCTTGGCTTTGTGTCACCATGGATGGAGACGACATTGTGGAAGGAGACCTCCAAATAGCCCCTGATTTCGCCCGTTTTGCTTTTGGATTTTACTCTCCGACACCCATCACGAATTCACTTCAAAATATAATGAAGATATAGCTGTAACACAAGGTACTGATCTTCTGCTGCTCACCCGGCAAATCCTCAGTAGATGTCCTCCTAATGATGATTTACTCTTTTGCTAACGTACAACCTTGTCTCCCATCATCTAAATTAAATGTGTGATGATGCTAGGACTCCTCAACCAGAAACGGACATCTTGTCGTTGGGGCTAAATCTTCTCTTACTGATCCTGTTGGTTTAACTCAAATCAGAGCAGACCCATTGAATCAATTGCCGAGGTAGGTATACCCCCATTGCTTCAATGGTTCGACTCAACTCACAATATGGTTGAGTCCAACGTCCGAATCCAATCCTATTGGTTAATCCTAGTCAAAGTTTGCCCATTGAATTGATTATTGAATGAAGGTGAATCTTGTTGATTCATGGCCAGAATGACTGGTTTGTTGTAAGTTTTTCAGGCTATGTGGCCATGTTCTAGAACAGTGGTTCTCAACCTGGGGGTCGGGACCCTGGGGGGGGCGGTCACAAGGGGGTGTCAGAGGGGTCACCAAAGACCATCAGAAAACATAGTATTTTCTGTTGGTCATGGGGGTTCTGTGTGGAAAGTAGGCTTGGGTGGTTTCGTTCGTTAATTTCGTAATTCGTTATTAATTCGTATTTAAATTAGCTTATGATCTAATATTGAGCCATGCAGGAATAGTGTGAGGAGTAAATTAGATTCGAAACAATTTTTTCAATTTATTTCGTAATTATTTTGTAATTTTTTTGTAATTTTTTCGTAATTATTTCGTAATTATTTTCGCATGTCTGGTGCAAGTTTTATAGTTGTTGTTTGTTTTATCACACCAACAGTCAACAACAGAGGGAGAGGGAAGCTTCAGAAGTTCCTCCTCTCCCATTTGGAGGTTTTTTTTTTTTAGCATATTGCGCAATCTCGTCCGCCATTAACGAATCGATTCGTAATTTTACGAAATTTTGTAAATTTCAAATTTTTTTAAAGGAAAATTTCAGAATTCTTAAAAAAACGAAACGCAAGGGCCCCCTAAAAACAAAACGAGTTTAGAACCAAATTTTTCCATGGTTACCCAGGCCTAGTGGAAAGTTTGGGCCAATTCTATCATTGGTGGGGTTCAGAGTGCTCTTTGATTGTAGGTGAACTATAATTCCCAGCAACTACAACTCCCAAATGTCAAGGTCTATTTCCCCCAATCTCCACCAGTGTTCACATGGGCATATTGAGTATTCATGCTAAGTTTGGTCCAGATCCATCATTGTTTGAGTCCACAGTGCTCTCTGGATGTAGGTGAACTACAACTCCAAAACTCAAGGTCAATGCCCACCAAACCCTTCCTGTATTTTCTGTTGGTCATGGGAGTTCTGTGTGCCAAGTTGGTTCAATTCATCGTTGGTGGTTCAATGCTCTTTGATTGTAGATGATAGGCCTGGGTAACAACGGAAAAATTTGTTTCTAAACTCATTTCGTTTTTAGGGGTCCATCGCGTTTCGTTTTTTTTAAAGAATTCTGAAATTTTCCTTTTAAAAATTTCGAAATTTACAAAATTTCGTAAAATTACAAATCGATTTGTTAATGGCGGACGAGATTGCGCAATATGCTAAAAAAAACCTCCAAATGGGACAGGAGGAACTTCTGAAGCTTCCCTCTCCCTCTGTTGTAGACTGTTGGTGTGATAAAACAAACAACAACTATAAAACTTGCACCAGACATGCGAAAATAATTACGAAATAATTACGAAATAATTTCAAAATAATTACGAAATAAATTGAAAAAATTGTTTCGAATCTAATTTACTCCTCACACTATTCCTGCATGGCTCAATATTGGACCGTAAGCTAATTTAAATATGAATTAATAACGAATTACGAAATTAACGAACGAAACCGCCCAAGCCTACTCACAACCTCTGCCATAGATGTAGGCGAAACGTCAGGAGAGAATGCTACTAGAACGTGACCATATAGCCCAAAAAACCTACAACAAACCAATCTCATTGATTCGTTGGCTCTATCTGAGACAGCAACAATAGGGCCAGTAAATCGATCCCTTTGTTACCTGTCTTAACCTACGGAAAACCAAGCAGACAGAAAAGGTGAGTTAGGTTTTAACTGTACTTACGTTCGGTTTCATTATTTACTTCGTTGCTTCCACATTTTTTCTCCCATTTTATTTTTTTTCCTAAAATCCTTTAAAAATAAATAAATAATAATAATAATAATAATAATGATGATGATGATATTTATTCTGTGCTGTTTAATTTATCTTTGTTGTTTGATTTATGGGCAGTGGGGATAATTCCTCTCTTCATTGATTGAAATAAATTATAAAGTAATTACAAAGGGGAGGGGCATTTTAAATGTCACGAGAAGGAAAAAAAATGGGGGACGAGAAGGGGCTACGGATCACCTACCAATACAGTGTTCCCTCGCTATTTCGTGGTTCGCTTTACGCGGACTCGCTGTTTTGCGGATTTTCAAAGAAAATGAATGTAAAATATTTACATTACAACGGGACTGGTGTGTGGAACCTCGCGTCCTGTTGTGAGGCTCCGTCGGTGGCTCAGGCTGTGAGTGGACATGTTTTGTCCACATCCTCGTTCTAGGCAAGGATGACGCCCCAACAACATCAAATCTATATAAATAAAAATGTAATGTTCGTTTGTGGGGTTAACAACTCAAAAACCACTGGACGAATTGACACCAAATTTGGACACAATACACCTCTCAGGCCAATGAGTGACCATCACTCATAAAACACTGAAAAACACAGCGGAAGGGAATTAAAAAGCCAAAAAAGCAAAAAAGATGCTACAGCACATGTGCAAAAATCACTCCCCCAGCAAACAACACACACAATATCATATCCACACTCTCTTCTGGACTACAGCTCCCAGCATCCCCTAGACCAGGCCCTTTAAGAGAAGAGGATGATCCAAATGCACTGCTTCCAAGATGCAAGCTTTCTTCACCTTGGATTTCTTTGAGAGCATCCCAATCCCTGCAGCTTTCCCATTTCCTATTCCTGGAGTGCAACTCCCAGAAATCCTCCAGATAGATAGATAGATTAGATAGAGACAGATTGGTAGATAGGTAGACAGATCGGAAGACCGCTTGAAGTTGCAGTCCACGAATAGGTAGAGAAGGAAGAAAGGGGAGAAAGGGAAAAGGAAAGAAAAGGGGGGAAGGAAGGGAAAAGGAAGAAAAGGAAGGAAGGAAGGAAGAAAAAAGGGAAGGAAGGAGGGAGGGAGGGAAGGAAGGAGAGAAAGAAAGAAAGAAAAAGGAAGGAAGGAAGGAAAGGAAGGAAGGAAGGAAGAGGAGAGAAAGAAAGAAAAGGGAAGGAAGGAAAGAAAAGAAGGAAAGAGGAGGGAGAGGGAGGAAGGAAGGAAGGAGAAGAAGGAAGGAAGGAAGAAAGAAAGAAAAAGGGAAGGAAGGAGGAAGAAAGGAAGGAAGGAGGGAGGGAAGGAAGGAGAAGGAAGAAAGGAAGGAAAGAAAGAAAGAAAGAAGGAAAAAGGAAAGGAAGGAAAGAGGAGGGAAGGAAGGAAAGAAAGAAGGAGAAAAAGGAAGGAAGAAGAAAGAGGAGGGAAGGAAGGAAGGAAGAAGGAAGGAAGAGAAGGAAGGAGAGAAAGAAAAAAGGAGAAGGAAGAGGGAGGGAGAGAGGAAGGAAGGAAGGAGGGAGGGAGGGAAGGAAGGAAGAGGGAGGAGGGAGAGGAGGAGGAAGAAGAAAAAGGGAAGAGAAGGAAGGAAGGAAGGAGGAAAGAGGGAGGGGGGAGGAGAGGGAAGGAAGGAAAGGAAGAAGGAAGAAAGAGGAGAGAGAGAGGGAAGGAAGGAAAGAGGAAGAGGAAGGAAGGAAAGACAAAAGGAAGGAAGGAAAGAGGAGGGAGAGAGGAGGAAGGAAGGGAGGGGAGGAAGGAGGGAAGAAGGAGGGAGGGAGGAAGGAAGGAAAGGAAGGAGGAGGAGGAAGGAAGGAAGGAAGGGAAGAAAGAAAGAAAAAAGGAGGAAGGAAAGGAGAAAGAGGGAGGAAGAGAAAGAGGAAGGAAGAAGGAAGGAAGGAAGGAAGAAGGAAGGAAGGAAGGAAAGAGAGAAGGAAAGAAAAAAAGAAGGAAGGAAGGAAAGAGGGAAGGAAGGAAGGAAGGAAGGAAGAAGAAGGAAGGAAGGAAGGAAGGAGGGAAGGAAGGAAGGAGGAAAAGAAAGAAAAAAGGGAAGGAAAAAGGAAGAAAAGAAGGAAAGAGGAGGGAGGAGAGAGGGAGGAAAGAAGGAAGGAAAAGGAAAGGGGAATGAAGGAAGGAAGGAAGGAAGGAAGGAAGGAAGGAAGGAAGGAAGGAAGGAGAAAGAAGAATGAAAGGAAAGAGGGGGGAAGGAAGGAGAGAAAGAAAGAAGGAGAGAAAGAGGCAGGTTGGCCACAGCAACGCATGGCAGGTACAGCTAGTAATGTATAAATATTACAATTAATATGGCGTCCCTACTTCGCGGATTTTCACTTATCGCGAGTGGTCCCGGAACGTAACCCCCACGATAAATGAGGGAACACTGTATTCCATTTTTAAATGATCCCTATCCCCTTCCCGTCTTCCATTTTCAAAGACTTGTGTGTGTTATGGGAAATGACTGGCGGTAACTATACTTTCTTCTTTTTTCCCCCAACAGGATTCCATTGGTGAACCTGTAAAAAGCAAATTCAGTGAATGGGTGACCTATCCCTACCATTTTTTGCGTTTACTGATGGAAGACTCAAAGAGCAGCCAAATATATTTTTATATAATTATAAGCAGAGAGAGAGAGAGAGAAAAAATATCGGGATTTGCCCCAACCTGTGATGGCATTTTTTCGTGTGTGTGCGGACTGGGTTATTTTTCATGGGAGGGATGAGGAAGGAAATTGCGAGCAAAGAGAAACTGCGCGGAGAGAAGCGAGGACCGAGCCACGGCTTCCACTCGGGACGCCTGGACTGTGAATACATATTTCTTTCTGAACCTGTGCCAATAATAATACCATTATGTGCCATGAATCGCCCGGGGGGTTGGGTTGGGAAGGATCTCGAGAAGATTGAAGACGCGCCAAACTCTACGGAAACCGAGGGGATATCTCTTCAGTATTTCTTGTTATTATACATACATGCATATACATATATATATATAAGATGATCTATATATATATATCTATCTATAAATATTTGTACTGTAGCAAATTTTTGGGGGAAAAAAACAAACTGGAAAGAAATCTAAATGTTCTTTTTTAAAAACAACAACAACAACAACAAAGAAATGGGTGTTGTGGGTTCACTACAACATACAATGTCATTCAACACGCTTAATATATGGACTTGGATATATATTAGGCTTGGGTAACCACGGAAAAATTTGGTTCTAAACTCGTTTTGTTTTTAGGGGGCCCTTGCGTTTCGGCTTTTTTTAATAATTCCGAAATTTTCCTTTAAAAAATTTCGAAATTTACGAAATTTCGTAAAATTACGAATCGATTCGTTAATGGCGGACGAGATTGCGCAATATGCTAAAAAAAACCTCCAAATGAGACAGGAGGAACTTCTGAAGCTTCCCTCTCCCTCTGTTGTTGACTGTTGGTGTGATAAAACAAACAACAACTATAAAACTTGCACCAGACATGCGAAAATAATTACGAAATAATTACGAAATAATTTCGAAATAATTACGAAATAAATTGAAAAAATTGTTTCGAATCTTTATTACTCGGGCTGGGCAACCAGGGAAAAATTTGTTTCTAAACTCGTTTCGTTTTTAGGGGGCCCTTGCGTTTCGTTTTTTTTAATAATTCCGAAATTTTCCTTTAAAAAATTTCGAAATTTACGAAATTTCGTAAAATTACGAATCGATTCGTTAATGGCGGACGCGATTGCGCAATATGCTAAAAAAACCTCCAAATGGGACAGGGAACTTCTGAAGCTTCCCTCTCCCTCTGTTGTTGACTGTTGGTGTGATAAAACACACAACAACAGGCCTGGGTAACAACGGAAAAATTTGTTTCTAAAATTGATTCGTTTTTGGGGGTTTTTGCATTTCGTTTTTTAAAAGAATTCCGAAATTTTTTTTAAAAAAAGTTCGATATTTACGAAATTTTGTAAATGTAAAAAAAAATACGAAACAATTACGAAACAATAATGAATCGATTCGTTAATGGCGGACGCGACCGCGCAATACGCTAAAAAACCTCCAAATGGGACAGGGGGAACTTCTGAAGCTTCCCTCTCCCTCTGTTGTTGACTGTTGGTGTGATATTATAATTTTTTTTCACTAATTAAACAAAAAACAACTATAAAACTTGCCCCAGACATGCGGAAATAATAACGAAACGACCTCAAACCGATAACGAAACGAATACATAACGGATCCGAAGCATTTACGAAACGAATTTAAAAATTTGTTTCGTTTTTAAGTTGCTCCAGAATGGTTCGTTATCGCTTCGTTATAAAAAAATAACGATTTTTAACGAATTACGATAAAAAAAAACAACAACTATAAAACTTGCACCAGACATGCGAAAATAATTACGAAATAATTACGAAATAATTACGAAATAATTACGAAATAATTACGAAATAAATTGAAAAAATTGTTTCGAATCTTTATTACTCCTCACACAATTCCTGCATGGCTCAATATTGGATCGTAAGCTAATTTAAATACGAATTAATAACGAATTATGAAATTAACGAACGAAACCGCCCAAGCCTAATATATATATGTATTAGGCTTGGTTGATCCAGCGCGTTCATTTCTAATCTCGTTATGAAATCGTAAATAAAATGCCTTTAGAAGCGATATCGGCGCGTTTTGGCAACCCAGAAGGGATCTTGCCATTTCGAAGCCGCGTCCGCCATCTTCCTTACGACTTCCGGCAGTGAATCATAAATGCTGGGGGCGTGGCCTTCAGGAACAGATGTTCTTACCCACGCCCACCTCCTTCCTCTTTCATCGGCGGCTTTGCAAGGTGGGCTTTGCGAGGTGGGCGTGTGGCTACCTCCCTGGCAACAAGCGGCGATGTGGAAGAGCTGGGCGTAGCCACGCCCACCTCGCAAAGCCCACCTCGCAAAGCCGCCGATGCAAAGAGGAAGGAGGTGGGCGTGGGTAAGAACAGCTGTTCCTGAAGGCCACGCCCCCAGCGACCTCCAAGGAGAGCTGTGCTTGGCCACGCCCACCTCTCCCTTTTGCATGGAAGCTCGCCGCAAGGGAAGGAAGGGAAACTGCGAGATTTTAATGGTTCTGGAGGGAGGGAAGGGCACCTTCCATTAACGAAACAAAGGAAACGATTCGTATTTCCTGGTATTTCCGATCTTTTTTTAAAGAAAATTTCGGAAATAATTTCAAAATCGAACCGCCAGCGCCCCCTATATACAAAACGAGTTTAGAACCATTTTTTTCTTGATCAACCAAGCCTAATATATAGATATATAGATATATAGATATATAAATTCCATGTTTTCTACTTCAGCAGTTTAGTTTTCACAGACAGGCACTCATCCTTTAAGGTCGGTTGAGAAGGGAAATAGTAGGCGTGAAGTTTGCTCTTCAGGATCTGCATTGATTCCAGCGTAGCTTGGAGAAGTTGGGACAGAGAGACCCAAACCCTGTTCATGTATGAAATGGAAATGTGGTTGTGCCAGGTAGTCCTGGCTGTCAGGTTGCATATCCCAAAATGGCCCTGTAATGGATGGTCACCATACATACAACATGGCTTAGTCCAACTATGAGTAAACCCATCCATGGCTTAATCTGACTATAAGTAAACCCATTCATGGCATAATCCAAATATGAGTACACCCATCCATGGCTTAATCTGAATATGAGTACACCCATCCATAGCTTAATCTGAATATGAGTAAACCCATCCATGGCTTAGTCCAACTATGAGTAAACCCATCCATGGCTTAGTCCGACTATGAGTAAACCCATCCATGGCTTAGTCCAACTATGAGTAAACCCATCCATGGCTTAGTCGGACTATGAGTACACCCATCCATGGCTTAGTCCGACTATGAGTAAACCCATCCATGGCTTAGTCCGACTATGAGTAAACCCATCCATGGCTTAGTCCGACTATGAGTAAACCCATCCATGGCTTAGTCCGACTATGAGTAAACCCATCCATGGCTTAGTCCGACTATGAGTAAACCCATCCATGGCTTAGTCCGACTATGAGTAAACCCATCCATGGCTTAGTCCGACTATGAGTAAACCCATCCATGGCTTAGTCCAACTACAAGTAAACCCATCCATGGTTTAATCTGAATATGAGTAAAACCATCCATGGCTTAGTCGGACTATGAGTACACCCATCCATGGCTAAATCAGATTATGAGTAAACCCATTCATGGCTTAGTCCAACTATGAGTAAACCCATCCATGGCTTAGTCCAACTACAAGTAAACCCATCCATGGCTTAATCTGACTATAAGTAAACCCATTCATGGCAAAATCCAAATATGAGTAAACCCATCCATGGCTTAGTCCGACTATGAGTAAACCCATCCATGGCTTAGTCTGACTATGAGTAAACCCAACTCTGGGCTGGGCCCAAATAGGGCTGCAATGAAGAGATGGACCCGATCCAGGTTATGGGTTTGAGGTGTAGGTCGTCAGCTAAGCCATGACAGATGGACCATGTACTGAATTCTCCAACCAGTTAAATTCATGTGAGGAGACGTCATGATTTCTTTAGAATAAGGAGACAGAGGTGGTGGTAAGGTCACCATTACTCACCTCGATAATACATAGCCCCGCCCCCTTGCACCCATAGGGTATTTGCTTTCCATAGCTTCCATTGCAAATTGCAGTAGCAACCATGGTGTCATTATTGCAAGCTTTCTTTGTGCCTCAAATTCATAGGCGCGAGGATGCTTCTGAGATACTTCAGCTAAGCTAAACTCGCATCAGATGGTAACGTCAGATCAACAGTTTCCAGGATGAGAAGATGAGTAGTGATGAAGAGGCATCCATGAAAACCAGATTGCACACTAATACTCAAACCACAACACACATTTCATCAGGGAGGTGAATCCAATCCTGAGTTCAGGCCAGACTTTAACCGAACTCTCCAAGGTGAGAATTATGTTTTAGTACCTTGGAGAGCTCCAAAGGCGCAGAGTGTATTTTAAGCTTAGGATACAGCACTTTGTATAGTCACCGTTTGAGCTTTCCGGATTCATGCTGCTACATATTTGGTGACTCAAATTCTGACATAAGGCTGAGACGGGTGTATTCTGGAAAGAAATTTCACTGTTCCACAAATGTCACTTTTCCACAAAACTGTATAAAAAAAGAGCTTGGCGTTGTCTCAAAACATCGTCCTAAGGATGTAATTAATGTTTGCCAATCTTTGAGAATATTGTCAGTTTCCTCGAGTGAGAATGAAAAAGCAATGTTCCCCATTTTGACGAGTTTTGCGCAAAAAATTGTACGACAAACAGTATTTTATGCAAAGGATAACGGGCTGACTCCGATTGTGGACACAAACGAGAACAAACTATTGAATCGGCAATACGTTGATTCGAGATCCAAATATCCGTTGGTCCAGAGCAATGGCAACCAAATTCCATAAGGATGACCTGCTTCCTGGATAGTTTCCTTACCGATTTCACCGTGTTTGGTTTCCTGAAGACAACTTCCAGATTGGGAGAAAGGTCAAACACAAACCGAGTAAATACCGAAGGAAGGGTCTTCGAAGAGGTGGCTTTTTCTGACGGAGGCCTTCCTTTCCCTGATCCTTTCTCCCTTGGTTCATGGAGACACAACTGGGCCATCTCCACTCTATGTAACCCATGGAAACCGGTTTCTATCTGTTTCTTTGTTCACTCCTGGTGCAACTGTTTTCTTGATTTGGGACTGCTGTTTCTTTTCCTCTTCCTTTCCTTTCAAATATTTTTTAAAAAATGGTTTGTTGGTTGTACTGCTGTTGTTTTTATTTTTTATTTTCTAAGTCGCCTCGCGCGGCGAGGGAAAAGCGGGGTATACATTTCCATAAATAAATAAACTGATGAAATCCATACCTACCCGGCTCTGTGTCGTCTTCAGCGCCACGGAGGACTGGGTGATGCCAGTGGGCAAATCCCAACATGTTCCTGTGACTGTATCTCCAAAGCATGGCATAACCAGTATGCAGAGGCGGCCCTAGGTAATTTTCAACGGTAAGCAAACAGTATTTTGGTTGTCCCCCCCAACCA